CGCACGGCCGTGAAGATGTTAGCATCAATATTTCATGACATCACACAATTTGACGACGCCATGGTTTGTTGATGTTTCCATGGAAACCCAATTTGACACGTGTAATAGCAGCGTGTTGCTATCACCGGTGAAACGGCCCAGGTGGCCTACCATTTGTTTTTTTTTTTTTAGAAAAAACTATCGTATCAGGGCTATGACGAAAAATAAGTGGCCTAAATCCGATGAGAAGACAGGATTTGGGGGTACCCTAGGAGTAGGTTTGGCTCCGTGACCTGGTATGCCCCCCCCCCCGCGCTGAAACCCTAGATCCGCCAGTGCGTGAAATAATGCATTAAAGATTAAAGAACCATGCAAAGTTAGCCCTTTTACTAGTTTTACTGGCAAGGGCGATAATGTTCCCCTGAATGTCCTTATTGATCAGTACGAGAATTTCTCTAGAGTTCTCGTAGATAATTTCTCTAGTTTCTGAAGAATTTTCGGGACCCATGCTCTTTTCATACTGGATGTAAATATATGCAAGGCACACATCCTCAACGCGAAGACACCTTTTTCGGGACGAGAAACAGAATATCTTTGCCTAGGGTGATCGTTGGGCTGTAAAAGCTCCTGATTTATGCTCGTCTCAGCCCCAGCTACGGAACTGCTATTCCAGTTCAAAACCCATGTTAAAAAGTGAACTATTTCCTTTAACACGTTCAGAATTACAGTTTTTATGTAACGAGAAATAGTTAGGTACATTCCATAGCGTAAATGTAACCTTCATAATGTTCGTTTAGAAACAACCTCATCACCATATCATAAGATTCTCCGAATAAGGCATATCGAAAAGAGTTCCACGGTTCCAATACCTTCGTGTGGATTGGTGAATAAGGCGCCGAATCCATAACACTAACTCGGTGACAGAGAATTGCAGGCCGGTAAGCAGCATGCCGCCTGGGCTGCACTGCATTATTGCATTCAGTGGTGTCATCAGTATCACGTCAGCCCTTCGGAACGGACATCCTGGCTCAATGTCATCAGGTTTATGGTGGGAGTAGCAGGTTTGTGACGCCCCAGTGAAATAAATGCCACCTTTCAACACCGATAGGAGCCGGAAATGAATGAATACAGGCAATCAACGCTGGTAGGTGTCCCAGCGAAATGAATGCATCTATTACCACCCAGACGTGCCCCCATTTCAAACTAATACGACGGCGACGCCTCCACACCGATAGGGGCCCATCCCAGGGGAACGGAATAAATGCCGCCCCTCATTGCCGGGCGCCCCAGGAGAATGAATGTTACACATCAACACCAATATGCCTCCCAGTGAAATGAATTATGAATGTCGCCTTTCGACGCCGGTAGGCGCCCCAGACACCAGTGGATTTACTGCCGCCTTAACCTTCGCCCCAGTGTGGGGGGGGGGGCATATGTTACCACCCTGTCGCGTTTTTTTTTCGTATAAATAAAAAACCGCGGCGCGTAGCGCCGCGCCGCTTGGGGTACCTTTTGGTACATCAATTTTGGACAATGTGTGAAATTTTTGACCCCAGGTCATGTCAGGTCAGGTCACTAGGTCAAGTTAACTGACCAAGCCTAAGAAAAAGTTTGCAATCATGTCCAGCCTGCAGTGTTTGTCAGAGAGGTTTCAAAATTGGTGGATTACATGATGTTATGGGTGCCTACAATTTGTATATCTCGGATTTTTTAAATGCGTGACCTAAGGTCAGGTCAGTGGCGTGACCTTTCCATTATAAGTCAATGGGGAAAAACGAAAATGCCTCTAGATCCGTGTGTACGCATAGGAACAGTCCAAATATTTCAGGATAACAATGATTTGGACCACCCGTGACGACCAAGGTGTCGTTTTTGCTGATAGCCTCTTGAAAGGTCATCCGAGGTCATTTGAGGCTACAAACAGTTTTTTGCCAATAACTCTCGATTGGAAAGAGATAGAACGCTGGGGTTGGCCTCATTGTGTTTGTCTTGCCGAGACGCATCGACTGATATGCAACATGACCTTTTCCGGTCAGGTCATGACCTTGACCTGAGGTCAAATTTTGAAGTTGACCTTTCAAGGTCAAATTATAGTTCATTCGACGCGTCTCGGCGAGAGGAACACGATTCTGGCATTAGAAATGACCTAGCTTTTTTCAGTCAAAAGTTATTGTCGAAAAACACTTTTCTTGAAAACAGCTATTTTTGGAGTTTTTGCCCTCTGGAGGCTAAACCGTTGACCTGAGGTCATTTTTGATGATGAATTTATCAAAAGAAGAGTTCAAAAGCTATCGATTGCTTTTCCCAGCGTTTTTCTAGCTATCATAGTTCCTGAGATAATGGCATGTTTTCTGAAAAATATAATGACAATTCGCAAATTTTGACCTTTGATGACCTCTGGTGACCCCAATATTGCTCTGAGATGAAAAATGACCGAAATACTTTCAAACGTACGCATCAAGAGCTATCGACTGCTTTTTACCGCGTCTTTCTAGCCCTCTTAGTTTTTGAGTTAGAGGTGGGTGGTAACATATGCCCCCCCCCCCCCACTAGGGCGAAGTTGGCGGAGACCGCCACTGGGGCGCGGGTTAAAACACCGATAGGCACCTCAGTGAAGCGAATGCCGGCCTATACCACCGATAAGCGCCCCGGATGAATAAATACCACCCGTCAACGCCGATAGGCGCCTCAGTGAAATTAATGCCGCCCCAATCTCCGATAGGCGCCCCAGGTGATACATGTCGCCCATCAACACCAACGGGCGCCCCATTGAAATGAATACCGCCCTTCAACACTGGCAGACGCCCCAGTGGAATGAATGCCGCCCCACAATGCCGATGGCCGTCCCTGCACTGGAAAATCTGTTTCGCCCCTATACAGGCGCCCATAGAAGTTTGCAGAGTGCTATTCCTGGTCATAATCATTTCCTCAGTAAAAAAACGCAAAATATGCCCTAGCACTAGGGGTGTAACCACCCATACGGACAGTGCAATTTTACAGGCCCCAATCTCGGACCTCCCTTAACATTCATATGTTGTAAACGGCAAACCGCCCCCGATAAATGTTACACAAACTAATTTCCTCTCGCATATCGGCCATCAGGCGCCCCTTTTTGTCGCATGGAGCCTGCAACGCTATAAGCCCTCATATGTTCGTGCATTGGCGTTCGGAGGCTATCGCCTTCAAAGACGTCTCCATAAATGTTTCTTTTTCGTCCCACACACAGGCGCCCCTCTTCCGCATGGCGCGCTTCTCGAGTGGCTGCGCCCTCCTAGCCTTAATCGCCTGGCAAGATTATATTCGACAGGGTCGGCAGCATCTGCCTTTTTTCAGATAAGGATGCCCTCCAATCTTCAGCATATCAAAAGATACTTTTCCCACGTCATTGCCACCCTCTTCGTGTCACAAGTGCCTTTATCAGTTGCGGTGTCGCACTGCTCAGCTTTATGGCTGCCGCACCTCTTAACTTCCTGCCTCCTCTACAGATTTTCGAGGCGCCCCTTTCCATAGCTTTAGGGTGCAGCTGCCCCCCTTGCCCCCCTGCTTCCGCCGCCACTGCTCACCCTCGGCCCCCGTCGCCGCCGTCGACATCGACCGTCATTGCAGCGGGACGGCATATGTACTTACTACTTCTTACATCGAATCCGGCCTTAGTTAGGACGTTTGGGGGCTAGTAATTTACAATTGAACTTTGATCTAGCAGCTGGTCAGAGTGAAATCGTAAAGCTTACAGATTGATGTATTTTTATGGAAGGCCGAGGTTGAGGCTTGAGCCTCTTCCTATTTAGCTCTTGCGCCCCCTCTAACTCTTCTCCCTTCCCTTTCTCTTCAATCTGTCCCTCTCTCTCTCTCTCTCTCTCTCTCTCTCTCTCTCTCTCTCTCTCTCTCTCTCTCTCTCTCTCTCTCTCTCTCTCTCTCTCCCTCTCTCTCCCTCTCTCCCTCCCTCCCTACTTTTTCCCTCTTCACCTCCCGATCTTCTCTTTCTCTTCTCCTTTTTCCTTCCTCGACGCCGCGGCCACGTAAGCCTTTTTACAGCGGATTACTTGCTGATGGGTTCGGTTGAATTATTACACAGCCTGAGCTGTTCGGTTGTTGCTTGTGTAGGTACCTACCTACGTAATGTGTATTTTAGAGACGACGCCTAATTCGACTCACGTTGTCTGGCGCCAGCCGATTGTGTACGCATATCGGAACGCCTTATGTAGTCCTGCATCGGACCATGAAGGGATGCATAAACCGAGGATGTCCTTGGCCGCACCTTGCAGATTGTCCTCTCTGCCGACTGCGCCGACTGAAACACTAATCTCGATCGTCCCGGCCGCGGGCAGGGCAGCTACCTGATCTGTGACGTGAGTGACTTGACCAGCCTACTGCGGTGACTGGGACTGCGTCTGCTGAGGCACCTACGACTTTGAACCGGGGGTTCACGGACCGTTCGGGGCTGCGTCACAACCCCCGCCCCTGCCTTAGCCCGGAGCAGACTGGCGGCGCTCCTAGTTGGGCCAGGTGGCGCTGTCGACGCCGGGGTCGGTCTACTTTTCACCTGGATGAGGCTGCAGCCGCCGCAGAGCTTATGCCCGGAGAAAATTGGTCGCCCGATCAAGCAACTCGTCGACCACTTCAACTCTTACATCAGGTGCAGAGAAGTGTGCCACTATGATGCGGAGTTCGAGAAAGAGCTAGGAGCTAGTGCGCAGAGCGCGAACCGGGACGTCGAGTGTTCAATGTAAACAACCAGGCGGCGACAGCCGCCGAAGGCGAAGTGCCGGCAGCGCCACTACGTTACAAACGCTACACAGCTCCTGATTGAGCTAGAGCTTAGATGATGCAAGATTTGAGCTGGCAAAGTCTTCTAGCCTATGTAACCTAACCTGCAGTCGCCAGCAACAGTCCTTCTTTTCTATATCGTTTGCATAATGCATATTGATCTGTTTTGTATTGTTGGGTTCGGTTTTTAAGTTAATTTATTTCGCCCAGGTAAACGGGACAGCACGTGAACTGAAATGAATCCGTTCTTTCAGCGCTGGGCAGCGAACGTCGTCGTGGCGGCCGACGCAGCGCCCCGTGACGACCCCGGCGGCAACTGGGTGGCTCCTGAGGAAGTTTCTATCTAAGTTTCTAACATCGACATGGCCTGTCTTGAGACAGCCATTTGTTGTCCAGACACCATCCGACACCGGCGTCATCCGACACCGGCGTGGGTGACCCAGCTAGGTGCATTTATATAACGTCAAGTTCGTCAGGTCACTGCTGTCGGTGGAGCCCGGCCCGCACGGCCACACAGCTGGTCGGTGCCGGGTCTGGAAGTCGGTCTTCCAGAGGACTGGTATACCTTGGGATTCGACGCCTCCCAGATTCGGCCAGCGACCCTGTGGCATTCCTCGTCACCGTCAGATTTGCAACGCCTTTGTGGTGTATGTACGCGAGGAAGACGAACAGAGACTGACGACTTGTCTGGCCATCCTGCCGAGCTGGACTAACCCAGGACTAACCAAACTGATCGAGATGAGCAGGGTCGTGTCCCCGGGCAGTCTCGTCCTCGCTTTGACCTCGTGCCGCGTTCGGCGATGTCAGCGTTCTCAAGAAGAGCCTTCGCCGCTGCGTTATGACCGCCGAGCTTCATGTTGGGAAAGTGTTCCCGACTGAGCTGCTGGGGAGCTGGGGAGCCAGCGCCAGTGGCCACACTGATGTCAGGCCGGTGGCAGCCCAAGACATGTCATAAGATGTCAAAACAGCTCATTGGCTACCGGCGTGGCGCTTGACCAGGCTGTCCAGGACAGGATTCTGGGTATCTTCCCGGTGCCGGGGTCGCTACCGAAGTGGTGATGACCACTGCGCACACCGACAGAGAGGTAAGCTTGATAATCACGGACGGATGAAGGCGACAGCAACGTTTGTGACTGCAGCTTAGTGTAGAAGCTTGTTTTGTTTCCTTTGGTTATGTCGGTCACATTTGTATCGACATTTGTCAGTTATTAACGTTTTAAATGAATGCGTGTCGTAAACGTGGACGTCTTTTACGTCTCACTCATATACTTCAATAAAATTGGCATGTAACTACTAACAATAAATGTACGCTTTTCCAGGTGTCCTGCCCTCGTTCTGATTCCACCTGTTCATCGCCCCCCGGCAGGGTTGAGCCGGAGCTCGATAAGGTAAGCGTCGCAGGTGCGGCATCCACCTGTCCATAATACCACGCCACCCACCATATACCTACTCCGGGCAACTCCGGATGTCCCCTGCCTTGCTCCGGTCACTGGTCATTGGTCACACTGAAGTGCAATAAACAATCGGGTCACCGTTTAAGTCAAATTATTCACACAGGGTCAGACACATTCAAGTCGGTCCCAGGGTTTGTACTATTATTGGAGCAGCCATCTACAGTGGCTGGCTGTCTCAGTCAGCTCGAGAGTTGAATTATGCTTAAAGATTATGATGGGCTGGCTCTGTATTTCTCCTTACCTAACCTCTTGAATCAATAGCACTGCTCAGAACAGAGCGGCTCTATCGACCCCCTTTCTGTCCGTATCGTCGGCCGGCTTTGGTCGCTATCGACACCCTCCTCAGTGCCGGGGACGGGTGGCCGATTCTAGAGCAACCCTCCCCGTCCGATAGGACCACCGAGAGCGGCGCCGGGGTGAGCGGGTCAAGGTGACGGGAGGCGTCCTCCTCCCTCTCTCCTTCCTCCCCACCCCGCCCCGCCCCGCCAGGTGTGTGTGTGAGGTCGACTCCTTCCGTGAGACCGGGACTGTCTTCAGCGCAGCCGGGTCAAATTTACATTGAATTGAATTGGTTGTTATTTTTCAGGCTTTACTGTACTGCGATAATTCCTTGGCTTCCTATATGATGTGCATTTAGTATTTACTTTTCTATTGACTTCGGTGATTACCTTGACCTTGGTCATTGGTGGTTAAGAACATGCAAACCCGGAATCGCTTATCTCTGCGTACTATTGGTCTCAAGATAAGGGTCCAGGCGACCTGTAGGTTTGATGCGGTGAATACCCCCGCCTTCGCCACACTCGCTCGGTGCTACGGAGCTCCGATCTCGCGACCGGTCACCTGTACTTGTAGACTGTGCCGCATGACATAGCAGTCGAGCGGGCCAGCGGAGCTTAGGCGGAAACTAGCGCCGCGTTTGACAGAGAAGGACGCTCACCATTCCGGCGGGAGGGCCGCTCGCCATTTTAACTCCATGTAGCGTCTCGCTGACAATGAAAGACACTACAGGACGACAATATAGGGTTCGGCAAAAGTTAGGTATGCCCACTACATATGACAACACTTTCCTGTTCCTTATCGTGTCCACACCGAGGGATGACGATTCAGGCTGCACTCCTGCATTGCACGGTCCTTGGCCGCAGAACATGAGGTGACGAACGGACCTCAGGTCACGGATCACCGAGCTACGGCTAGTTTCACAGAGATTGTCCACCTGAGCGGCTGCATCGCTACGTAAATGTCTGAAATTTCTATCAAGGGAGCTGAACCAGACAGTCGGCATGCTCCAGGCCGAAATGACACAGCATGTCATTGCTGATTGGTTGGGACGTCTGCCTGTTGTTTTTGCTTGCAAGTTTTAATTATAGACGAACTGTCTGCACAGTCCGGTGTTGGTGGGATAAGCATACGGTTGCTGGCAGTGTTGCTGATCGTTCCAGTTTGCCGGCGTGCGCCTACCATTTCAAACGTTACAGAAATCGCATTGAAAAAGGCGACCGGGAAGAGGGGCCAGAAGTTGGGGATGCAAAATGAGTCAAGTGGCTCGAGCTGAACCGCTATCACATCTCCAAACAGGACCGTGAGACGCTATTGGAAGAACTCCCCAAGGCTCATTACCTACCTTCGGCCCAATACTAAGCCAACGCATGGTCAATGACATGTTGACATGCATTTTCAATCAGGACCGCGCGCCAGCTCATCGCTCTGCCAAGGGCTAGCAGTGGTGCGAACTGAACGTGCCAGACTCATGAAGGAAAGAGATGCTATGCTGGCTGCCCTCCGGACCTCATCCTGATCGACGAACTTGGGCTATCGTCCAGCAGGACCTGGACGAACAGAAGCCGGCGGCCAGCCTCGCCGCCTTGTCGTTACAGCTCAAACGGGCATGATAAAAAAATCCAGCCGTATTTACTGCACAACCTAGTTACCAGCATGCACATTTGCGTTCGCATGTAAGTCCCTGTTCGTGGGGGATAAACTGAACACTAAAGAGAATCGCTGTCCCCTATGTAGCAACTTAGAATTTTTTTAGGATAAAACTTATGCCGGACCATGTAGCTCACGCATCATTCATTGCAGTTTCACCTTAGACTGCAAGACGTGGCAATTTGTTTAGGACATAGCAATTAATGTTGTCATGATCGGCATACCGCCGAGAACGTCACTATTTATATCATTATCTTAACGGTTGCATATTTCAACCTTCATACCTTTTAATATCCTACTGTTTCATATAATTTCATTTATGGCGCTGAACAAGTGTTGAACAGTCCATTTCAATAACTGCATTGTTAAACCTCCGGTACGGTTAACCATTAAACAATACGAGTATGTTAAGTGTTACTCTAGCCCTGTTCGCTATGTGTTCGCTTTATAATTCTATCAAACGTGATATCATTCCAAGAAAGCACTAATAATGTAGAGTGTAGAAGCCATTCCCACTGATGGGACTCGAAGCGATGCAGATAGGTAATGCATAAGGCTGATTGGCGAATTTCAGCTTGTAGACAAGACAAGGAAACGTTCTCAAAAATCAAATCCACACGTAACAAACATATTTCAAGAGTGCAGGGGTCTAGAGTGTGTGCGGGGGGACCTCGCCGCCGTTTCGCCCATTATTAAGCTAAGCCTTGCACCCAGCGATTCACAATCAAGTTAAAAGTGTCAGATCAACATGTGACCTCTGAGGTCAGGTCACGTGCACAAGTGCAGGGTGTTCATTTGCGAATGACGTAAAGTAAGCCCCCGCTGGAGCCCCAAATGATCGCCGGCCATCGTGCAGACGAAGCCTTCGACGACTCACGGCAGCGTTCAGTTCATCAAGGGTCTTTTACTCTTGAGTTCGCTCCGCAATTTGAGTTGCTTGAGGTTAAACGTTGAAGTCCAAGCAGGAAAAATCCAGACTGCAGAGTGACCAGGGGTGCTGGGATCTTGTTCAGTTGCTCGAAGGTGAAGAGAGCCTAGCAATTCTTCAGTAATCTGTCCAGTATTCACGTTCGCAATGGCTTAAGAAACCTGGGAAGGCATTTTTAAATATATGGACTAGTGAAGTTAATTACAGAAAGTCGTGATACCGATACCAAACCAAATATCAACAGGAACTGTGGGAAAATACCGAAACCGAACCGACTTGGGAATATCTGGGAAATGCCAACTTTTTACCAAAGTCACAGTCTCTTTTACAGTAGCGAGGATTCACAATACCAACAAAATTCCAAATGTGTTAGCCTCGAAACGCCAAATACCAAGTTGGTATCGGTTTGGTATCGGTATGCCAAAAAGTTGGTATTTGATTGACATCTCTAATATGGACAATCCTCCACAAGAAGAAACTGAACTGGAAACATTATCGTCCGATCCTAATGACCGTCATATCCCCTGACAGCATGGTGTCGAGGCTGGAAGCGTGCACCTCTTGGCTCACGGCTCAGTGAAGCGGAAGAATGGTTCGAAAGGGTGATATTGAGTAACGAAAAGTGGCTCGCGCTACAGCAAGCACCCGCAAGAATAATACAGGCTCCTTCGCCGAAGAATCCACAAAAGTTGATTCCATACAAGGATGAGCACGGAGCGAAGGTCTTGGCCGATGTCTTCCACACGGAGAAGCAAGTTTTCTTCGAGCGACACAACTGATTTCTGTTTGTGCTATGTAAAATGTTAAGATTTATCATTCCAACGGTGAGCTGTTTATGCAATATGTCTGGGGCTGACTTTATGTCATCTTTTATTGATGACCCTGTAATTTAGAGGATAGCGCGTGGATATTTAAATGCGGTTATTCCGCACCGTAGACAGTGTTTACAATTGCTTCACGTGCAAAGAGATAAAATTATCAGATGTCGTGTAACTGATTTTTTGAACGTCTAGACGATTAACAAACTGTTAAACGTCTAGTAGACATTTCGTCTAGTCTGAAAGATGTCGTATTTTATATAAAATGTATTCTTTACCATTAAGCGCCCGAAAGATATCGGCGGTACGGGATAAAATTATTTAACCGCTCGTAGGTAGAAAAATATTTTAAACGTCTCGCCTATCCGCTCGACGTTTAAAATATTTGTTCTACCTGCTCGCGGTTTAATATATAACCACCTTGTATTTCAGTTGGAACGGTGGTTAATATATATTAAACCGCGAGTAGGTAGAACAATTTTTTAAACGTCGAGCCGATAGGCGAGACGTTAAAATATTTTTCTACCTACGAATGGCTTAATGATTTTATCCCGTACCGCTGGCATCTTTCGGTCACTTAACCCGCGCCCCACTGGGGTCTGTGTATAACACGCCCTACTGGGGGGGGGGGGGGGTATTCATATCCCCCCCTCCTAACTCCGAAACTACTGGGCCGATCGTCAAAATTCAAACGGCGTCTGATAGCCTTGGAAAAACTGTCGAGCGAAACCTAATTTTATTGACCTCGAGGTCACCGATGACGTCACAGGTCAGGTCAAAGTAAAAATTATTAGCATCTTGGCTTGTTCACATTTTGGGCTCTGGCCGCCGTCTTACAAGTCAGATCAGGCTCATTTTTGGTTTCCACACTCGTGAACAGATGCTCTAGATACCTTGAGGGTACCAAACTTGTACTTTGATTTTCAGGTCAGGGTCAGGTCATCACAGGTCACGGAAATATTATATCATGCGTCGGTCACGTGACACATGTTTAATGGTCCATTTAGGCCATAGATTTCGAATTTGATGTCGTCTGTGTCATTTGAGGTCATTTTGAGTCGAATTTAGCTTAGGTCAGGTCACTTTCAGGTAAAAAAGGTCAAATTTTGAAGTTAAAATTTTTCAACAAAAAAGGTGTCTATTGGATGCAGTTTAAGCTCAGGAACACGATGGTGCCATTTATATTGGTGTACGATGTCAAATATGTACTGAAAAATTGATTTGAAAAATTAATAATTGTGAATTTTTTCCAATAATGCGTA